CCATCCAGAAAAAGGTCCCCTAACTCTCAGGGGAACACATGGTTCCCTCCGAATCCGGTACCTTTCAGGACGTTTTTTTAATGACCATGCTAATCGTTTGTCTTCATCAGAAGACGAGACATCTGTCTGAGCAAGCACTTACCTGCACGTTACACAGCGGCGAATGCTCTGCTGATTGAGTGAAACAGATAAGATTCCCACCCTTGTAGCAACTTCAACTGAATACACTCAAAGGCCTGACAAGCAACTAGTATTTACTTCCCAGCTGCTTTATCTCTGTGAAATGATATGATGAATTACTATAACCTAATTGTTGCAGAAAGGACTTTCCCCTTAACATGTAAACAGTCTGGCTTTTCAAAGCAACCTGGCCCAGCAAGTTCAACACTTTGCCTAACTCAAGACTAAGGAACCTCTGCCCTGTTCACTGTATATTCAGCACCAGGCAGTTTCTTTTTTATTATTTTTGTTTGTTTTGAAAAATGAATACATATACATGATAAAACATTCGAGCATACAGATGGGTATACAATAAAAAGTAAACTTTCCAGTGGAGGTCAGCCTCTAGTTCCCCTCCAGATTTAATCACTGTTACCTATATCTTGTGTATCTTTTGAGAGCAATTCTATGCATTTATAAGTTTATAAATATGTATATTTATATATCTATTTTTAATACAAATGGTAGCATTCTATGCACAGTGTTCTGAAGCTTGCTTTCTTCACTTACATAGAATTTTGGAGGTTGTTCCAAATTCTCGCACCGAATCAGTGTAATTCTTTTAACAGCTCCTAGCACAGCTCTCCACATAAACTAATGGTTCAAAACTATATGGATGAGTGAATGAATGTGTGTATGCATGAATGAATCTGACTCAACTTGGCAGCTGCAAAGTTCATTAGGGTCTGATCTGATCAAGACACGACCTTGCAGATTTTAGAACGTGCCTCCCTGTTTTCCGAGGCGTTCAAGCTGCTGCTCACCTTCCTAATCAATAGATGATAGGTGAGGGTTTTGGATAATGAAAAAAACCTCTATGTTCTGGATAAGTGGGAGGAGCTCAGATAAGTTAGTCAAGATAATTGAGGAGAACCTCTGTGTTCCATGGAACCAAGACCCTCCGGGTAGCTGAGAAGCTGTGTTGGCAGCCAGTTGACTGAGAAGCACAACAGCCATCCACACAGGACTTGACAGTTCCCGTGGCTTTTTTGGTACTCATTGGTCTCACTCGTTCCTCACTGCAACCCTGCAAGGCAGGCAAGTGGGAGAGATGATGATGCTGTGGTTTCATAAGAGAGCCCGGCCCTGGTGGGCACTGTGGGCCTCAGGCCCTCAGAGAACAGGGGCAGTGCTGGAACACAGTCTGCGGCTCTGGGCTGAGATAAATCCACCTCCGCTGGGTCCCCTGACTGATGAATTAGGTCTTTGCCCAGGTAAGACTAGACCTGTCTCCATGTCTGGCTTCCAGAGCTGAAATTTCTTCCTTCTTTGTGGTTCATACCAGAGGTCCTTCTTATTGCTTATAGAATGGAAGAGAGAAAGGAACTTTGATGGTACTAATACAGAATAAACTGCAAGTTATATCAACAAGTTAACAAGATGCCATTTACACAAAATAACCCTCTGGTCTCATAGCCTAGTGGTTGAGGGGGTTTGTTCCCACAGGCTCATGCTCCCTACACACACAAAGCTTTAGCAACCCTTGCTACTCTCAGTACATTGACCCTCTCAATTTTTTTTTTCTTAAATATTGTTCCTGATCAAATAAATTCATTTCATAATCCACTAATAGAAAGAAACTCCCAGATATCCCTTTTCTGTGGTTCATGTCAGAGTTCCTTTTTATTGGTTAATATCAAAAGGACCAACCTTCTACTAGATTTAACTAATATTTGAAAGTCCTTCCCCACTCAGATAATAAAAATAACCCATTACCTGTGTGTCACACTGATCAGTGAAATCAGAGTACAAACCAGTTTTAAGCCTGTCAGAACTAGTATGAACAGGTCAGAACTGGTATGAGACAGAGCAGGTATGAGCTAATCAGCCAGTCCCAACCAGTATAAATCAGTCAGAACCAATGTGAGCTGGTAAAAACCAGTCAGAACTGGTATGAACCAGTACAGACCAGCCAGGAACTAGTATAGGCTGGTCAGGATCAGTATAAGCCAGTCTGGGGCAGAATGAACCAGTACAAACCAGTATAAGCCAGTCAGGACTGTTTCCTTTATCTGGAATAGTCTGTCCTTCCCCATGCCCACAGCAGTCTACTTAGTAAGTAAATACCTATGTAATTTTTTTTGTTTTTTTTGAGAGGTTTTTGCTATAGGGCGCATGCGCTCACCAGACAGAGACAGAAAGCGAGAAATCACCCCCCCAGGGGAGATGGCTACGCTACCGTCCCTTCTCCATTCTCCTCTTGGGATCTTGGGCGCACACATACGCGCCCGGCCTGAGTTTTAAGCCACCAGGTCCGGGACTCGAACCGCGGTTGACTACATGGGAGTCCAGTGACATAGCCATTATGCTAACTGCTGGTCCCAGTACCTGTGTAATTTTCAAACTCCTCTAACTTTACTTATAAAACTACCGTTATAAGTCTCCCCA